TCTCTCTCTCTCTCGTCGTTGTCTTCTTGCAGGTGCGCACAGCGACGATCTCCTCCTCAGTGCAGCTATGGCGGACTTCGTCTTCAGCGGTGGCGCACTTCAGGTATGGCGCCCTACCTGGGGCGCATCTCTGACCTGCAGCAACGGCGATGGCGCATGGGATAGCGGGTACCCGCTCTGATACCAATGCAATCAGGCTCGTTTTCTTTCACACTTCACATGCATGTAAACAGGTCGCACAGCAAACCGGCGACAAGCGCCCACTCAAAGCTCAGAGATATGGTAACCCAGAACACTGTTCCGATACAAGCTCGCTTCAGATGGCTATGGCGCGTCAGCGCCTGTACAACTCTCTGTTCGTCACTGCGCCCTACTCTGCTGTTCACACACACTCAACTTAGGATCACCCTGAATATCCCACACGTGACACACTGTAAACACACGCACGCACACGCTACACTCTTCTCCGAGCTATGGCAGCTATGGCCGCTACTACCTCTACCGCTATGACTAAGTTCTCCTTCGGCCCACTTCGTCTTCGGGCATACTGCAGACCACCTCGCACAAGTTGCTGTGGCAGCGCTTCCGCATGGCTTACGCAGGAATGAATGAATGGCTGGGCTCTGCCTCTTGATTTATACTTCTGTAACTCGTTGGTCTGCCCCTTTCCCATGCCCGTGGTTCCTACAGTCCCATACAGTTCTTGCTTGACTGGACTAGGACTGACTGGGACTGGTACCGCTGACTCACCAAGGGTGGACTTCACCACTTGCCCACTTGCCTCTGTCTAGACGTGAGCCAACTTCGAAAGGCCACTATTGGGACCTTCTGGAAGTCTGTAGTCCTGGCCTTTCGAATACTGTAGCAGCTACAGCTACGACTTCTAGAACTCCCTATGACCTCTATCCGACAGGTCTACAGATCGAACCCCTACAACCTACGGACCCTACTACAGCCTACCGACTGTTACGAATACACAGGTCACGGGTTCAACTCTCGAGGTCGACGCAGGTAATATACACAGGTAAGGTAAAGTCTAGGGATCGAGCCCTGGGATCTGCATTTGCTACTGCTAGCAGGTGAATACCGTTTCACATGAACTTGTTAGGTCAGTGCAGTAGTTCCATCTATTTACGTCCAGGATGTCCCTGTCCAGAGTTTTTTTTTATGAAGGAGGCATTCGTTTGTTTGATTGTTTTTTTTTTGGCATTCGTTTGTCTCATTAAAGATTGTTGATCATGCACAATGAATGAATCTATCAGCATGACTGGCAAGTATGTTGTATTCTCCAGGGATGTACGTTTTTCATCACCTTATTGTGGAGTCATTCTTCTGTGTGTTTCTTAACTACATTGAACTGTGTCACTGTGTTGGCTTTGTTTTTATTTGTGTTGTGCACAGCTCATTATCCAACAATAATCTCACAGGAATCATACCAGATGAGCTAGGGAACTTGAAGCTTTTAGAAGTACTGTAAGTAACAAGTATGCCCATGACTGAATTTGACGAAGTAATCATACAGTGTGTCATTCGTTTAATCGCTGAAGTGTGTGGTTTGGCAGCATCCCGATTAAAGCTCGATCAAGCAAACTTGCTGGTTATTCCTGTAATGTCGTGATATGTTGAGACTGACTGAAACAGTACAAAATGGAATGGAGCACACGCAGCAGTGTGCAGGTTCCTGGTGTTGATCTGACAGCGCGAGCAGCAGCAGTGTGCAGGCTTCTAGTGATGATGTGACGGGGTGCGCAGCAGCGGGCAGGCTCCTACACTTCAATCCAATCGCAGGAGCCAGAGTGCAAGCTCACGCTTTTGATCTGTGCTACAGGAGCCTGCGCACCCACCTCTAAGGCGGCCTGGCGCCTGGCGCCTGGCAAGCTCAAGGAACGAGCTGCGAGGATCAGTGTCCTCAGTAGGCCTACTGGGCCCTGTCTGCAGCCTTACCCGCCCTAAGTGAAGGCGGAGGTGCCCGCCCTACGTGAAGGCGGGCCTGGCTTTTTGCAAGAGGCCCTCGACTGTCAATTTCATATTTGGGGTCCAGGCAGTTGCGACGCGCCAGTTGGTTGAAAGAAACACAGGCCGAGTACCGAAGACATTTCCACGGCCTACCGGGCCTTTCCAAAGAATGCAGGCCCTGGGCGTGATTCGCAGCCTCGTACAGAGACAGTTGGGCGCCCAACCGAACGAGGCCCAGCAGCCCAGTAGCTGCT